GTTATAAGGGCTTTTTATATATTTGTCCAGTTTTATCGCTTTAATATATTTATTGCTGTAGTTTATTCAGCATATGTAATCGCTCTTAACGTACATGCACAGCCACAGGCATGCTGTAGTCGGAAATTTCATGCGCTTTGAAATAAATTCACTAAACTTACCGGTCCAGGTAAATCCATTATCCTGTCACAAAAATTTTGCTTTCGCCGTCGCCGGGTAAATGTTCCTATACAGCGATTTGTACAGTAATTAACTTGGTTTCTAATGAGTTTCCAGATTTATTTAGTGTCAATTAAAGAGTTACAGGTACATCCAGCAAGCATATCTCTAACTTTCTCAATTAGTGAGGATTTGAGGTTCTTTGACTTGAAAGGTAATTCGAACTCTTTGCAGATAGATTTCAGCACTTTAACGTTGAAAACTTTAAGTTTATCCTTCTTGAAATAGTCGCAGAGGTTGTACACATCATAGACAATGGGATGTTGTAAACCTACTCGTTCAAGAATGCTGTCAACAAGCTCTTGATCGCAAATATCTTGTGCAATTGCTACTAAATCTTCGTCTTCAGAGCTTTCTAATTCAGACATCAAAACCCGCGCCTTTTCATTCCCGTGCTTCTTCCGGGCAGCTGATAATCGAGAAAAGAAATTTTTAATCTGAGGTGCTGTCAGCCATTCATCTCGAGTGAAACGTTTTTCGTTCTTCTCGTTTCTTGCACTTCGCATATCATTTTCCACATCTGACGGATTGCTCTTCATCCCGGTGATTTCACCTAAATCAAATTTATCTGTCAGGTAGTCTCTCACATTTTGGCTAAAACGTATGCTTCCAGTTCTGGACTTACTCAGTGCCCAACCCATACTGTTCTCACAAGCGTTTTGATCTGACGAAACTGCACCCATTAACTCAACAACGTCAGCGTTCTTGTTTTTCTTTCTGCAGTCGATAGTCAGAAATTTTTCTGCCCAATCCCTTCTTAACTGGTCATACAACGATTCACTTAGAACTGTGTTTTCGTGCTTCCCTACGTCTAAATGAAGTTCAAGATCTTCAAAACGTCGGAAAACCTTCCCACAACCAACGATACTACATTCGAATAGCCCTTCTTCAGTATTACGCCGCTCATTTGGCCTAACTGGCCTACTTTCTCCCCTAGAAAATTCTTCTTCTTGTTGAATATTAGTACTCATTTGTGGATTTATCAAAAAATCTTTGAAAGGAAGCAATTTTCCTTCACCAATTCCAAAGGCTTTCCACACCCTTATACCTGTGTCTTCGAACTCAATGTTATGGTACGCACTAATACCGTCAATGTTCTTTACTTTGATTGTCATGGAAGAACAATCTATTCGGTTTACTGAGGCGGTGGTTCCACAAACTGGGCGTTCAAGTAATGCTCTCCTCATGTCACTGGCTGTCAAAATGTCATGTCCTTCATTGCAGTATTTCTGTATTGCATGTTTCATTGGACAAAGAATTCGGTCACAGACATCTTTGCCATGCTGTGGCTCCGAAAAATCATAACGCATGATCTTAATGCCTATTCTTTGACCTAAATCTTTCAGAGAAGCTGGAAGAAAGTTGTTATGATAACACCCAGCTTCATCTGAACGCAAATACACCTTGGATATCTTGCCATTACTCTGATGCAGAACTTGAAGAAGATTTTCTAGGACAGACAAGACGGAGTACCAGTCTTGAGTGCACGTGTCCATCAAATGCGCATAAGTACACACTTCCAGCTGACTTGTTTCTACATTTTTAGTAATAACGCTACTCACGTGCCAACTCATTCCCCGCTTTGCGTACCACTCGGATTGTTTTTCCCTGAAACGACGCTGCGTAAATTTCATCGCCCAGTCCATTACAATGAGCGCGGAATTCTCCTCCAGAATTTCAAGAGCGTTTTGCTTGGCCATTTCTTGGTTACAGGAGCGAAGAATGTGACATTTCCATTTGAGAATGTTTTCTTTGCATTTACTGAAATCGTGCATGTAGTCTCCTCTTTGCTCGTTAGAATACATGGCGCTTGAATGAGTTTGAATAGTGTTCTCAATCTCACTAAGGACAAATTTGAACTCTTCACATCTGTCGCAGAAAAGATTATGTTCATGACTGCAAGATTTTTGAAAACAAGTCAGTTTTGAATCGCTCAACGCAAAACTTCTGCAATGATCTGGGCATGGACTATGTTCTTTGCAATGCACACTGTAATCGGTCCTGAGATATAGTATGGCGTTATTTAATTTTCTTAGGGAACTCTCAACCCATGACTTTGTTACACCTAGACCCTCCATTTCAATAACGATTTTCCTTAATTTCTCAAATGCATTTGAACCTTCCGCAGCAATATTATCGATGCCTTGTAACGATTTTCTCTCTGACGCTTCCCTGACTTCTAACACTCTAAACAACGTAGCCCGACTGAGCGGTTCCACCTCCTCTTCTTCACAGTGTTTGAAGTATTGTTGAATTAGTGTTGATCTGGTTACATTCCGAATGATGTTGGGCATGGTTAACGTTTGTCCACAATCGAGTTTGAGCTTTCGTGTTCCATATGCTACATCTTGGTAGAAATACGGTCTGTTTGAAAAGGCAATGAAATGATCAAGTTTTGTTCTATCAATTCTGACTCGTGAATGCCTTTGTGTCTCTATTATGTTTCCAGGGCCATTTTGCTGGGCGTGAAGTCTGGCTTTTCTGATCTGCCACATAGTAACTTTTGCATAAGGCTCGTGTAATTTCATTAGTGTTTGCGCAGGATAATTATGCGCGTAGATACTCAAAATCTGTAGTTTTAGATTTCGTGTAGTAGCATTCTTGTATGCAGTCATAAGAGCTGCAAGTTCTTCGGAGACATGAATATCACTTCTAGAATTCATAGCTTGAAAAAGCTCTTCGCCAGCGTTTGGAGCAATCACTTCACATATCACTTGGCTTGCTTCGCTTGCCTTTTCGATGCACGCTTCTTTCTCACTTTGTGTAGTTTCATCCCAGCTGCTAGTTAGTTGAAATGACAATGGTGAAATTTCTTTGAAAGACGTTAAACTTGCCAGATGAGACATAGATTCGTTGTAGACATCAGTTGTCGAATGGCTAGATTGGTTATCATAACTTGAAGAGGAGTAGTTTAGTAAAGTGGCATTGCTAGGTGTCCACATGTCAGTCGCATCTGGACTAGCCAAAGTAGTTGAAGGAGAAATAGTTCCAGAAAGACATGGCGATAGTGATGTCATTTCCAGTCTGTGGATAAAAACGTGAAAGGATTATAATACCATCATAAAAAACAATGGTAAACAAACAACTTTTCTGTGGTGTTTTTAAACACAGCTGAAAAGGGTGAAATATAATGCGGTATATAGTCATTATGCATACTGTTTGCTTATAATATGAAGATGTATGAATCCACATAAACAGAAAATTGCACTTACTGGTCTGTGATAGCATTTACTGACTCGGTACCAGTCCTCAGCCTGACCCATTCACTTTCTTTACTCATTTTTTCGTCATGCTTTCCTCTACAATCCCGGCATATTGCTAAAAATAGAGACAGGTTCAAGATGTTTTGTCCAAGAAAAAAATCGAAGAAATGATTCCAAGACAAGAATAAGTACTTACGAGATCCGATAGGTACTGTTTTCCCAAAGAGTAAATGTGCGTCTTTAGTAAGTTGTAGTGTTATAACATGATTCCCCGTCACAGCAGAGTTTGATCCCGTATGAAGTGGATATTGGCAAACACGTGATGGACGCCAGAATTTTCCCAAATTATAGCGATGGTTGGGGCAAATTCTCATATGTTGTAGTTGCTCATGGGAGATCTCAAACACTCCACAACGCAATAAAATAAGCTCATACTCGCAAAGTTTTTCTCTTGACAGATGGCATCTGGACAGGTGAGTGCTCACATCATCCGAACATTCAAGGACATTAACACAGTCAGATTTCCCCCGGAAAGTTCCACATTTAAAATCAAAATAATCGGACAGAAAACAAGGCAAATCCATTGCGGTTTAAAAGTTATATAGTAGTTTATGTTGAATTCACTGAATGTACGCTATATTAATACTTTACACATGCGTTTCTAAAAACAGAATGATGTAATATCAGTCTAAAAATAACACAGCACATTTGAATAGCTACCTTGGGGGAAAACCCGCCTTACCGTCGGCTGTAAATTTTGTTATTTCTTTGCCTCCGACAATTTTTGAATGTTATTTTATTTTCACAAGAGTGATTTTACGCTGAATAAACTACAGCAATAAATATATTTGATAAAACTAGATAAATATATAGAAAACCCTTTTAATTGATATTTTTATTGACCAACTACCAATAAAGGATTACGCGCTTGCATGTTTTATCTATTTCGAAAGTATGCTAGTGAAAGCAAATATTGTTTTATTTCATAGGAATTATCAAATAGTTGTGATCAGATGTTTTGAACATATAGTTGAAGCTGTTTGTTCAATGACATACTGAGATGATTATTTCTGAGCGTATTTAATGCCAACGTCAAAATTGCAAATAATTTATTTAAATTCACAGCGCATCAATTTGTTTCCCCAAAAATGTTTTTCCACAGAGTTATAGAACAGTATTAGTAGTTTAATTTCAAGTTTGGTCTGGGTGTATAACTGGTTGCACTTTTGATAAAAACAAAGTTGAATGATGACTATTTTTGCAATTTTAACGGCACGACAAAATTGCCGTTAGAATTTTTTAAAAAAAAATTCGAATTCCTGTAATATATACAAATCATTGCCGTCAAATTGTTGTATAGCTGTAAGTCTTTTAAGTGACTCAAAAATAGAAACCAAATTATGCCGTGCGCACATCTGGAGTTCCTCTGAAAATGGGTAATTTTACGTCTGAAATTGTCTAAAAATAGCCATGCCAGACACAAAATAGAAAATATCGCAAAACTTGAAAAATAAAATAAGAATGCAAAAGATGTATGCATATTTATTACACACTAACAAAGGCCAATAAATGACAGAATTATGAAGGGAAAATATTTTTCAACGCGTAAGTCGGTAGGAGGATCTTAGGGAGACAGCCTCTTAATTCGTCTTTATTCCTTGTGTTATATCCATGGCAATCTTGTTGTGTTTCTGATGTCATATGGTGATTAACAAGACCATTCAAACACTTATACATGTAAATACATCTTCTTTCAAATCTTCTTTTGTCTAATGGTATCCACTTCAGCAGAGCAAGCGCTTCAGTTGAAGACGAGTGAAATGGCTTGTCAAGAATGATCTTGGCAGCTTTACTTTGTAGTACTTGTAGAGTTACCATGAGCGTATTGTTATTTTTGTCTCCCCAGACTATGTCCGCATAATCAAAAATAGGGAGAATGAGACTATTATAAAAAAGTACACGTGACTTGAAGGGTAGAAATACCTTTATCCGTCGGAGAAGACTAAGCCGTTGGTTAACTTTACATGCAATATAGACCAATTGCGAAACTTAGTGACCGCGCCTTCGTGCAACATGGAAACGAGGCTTATTATGCAAAAAACAATATTTGTATTTTTTGCAGTACAAAGCTATTCGCCGAGTTATATGCCGTTTTTCGCCTTTGTTTTACATATTTTTCGATACCTTTCAGCTTGGTTTCATCGTTGTTATCATAGTTTTCAGGTTAGGAAGTTTTGCCTTTCAATTAAGGCGTTTTTGTGGTGTTTTCATTAATCTTTTCGGCTGCTTTCGTCGGGGAAGTATGGAAAAGGCCGACACAAACTCAGGTAAAAATTTAGTTTTTCCAAACTATTTCGTCTCAAGTTTTGAAAATGTATTTCATTTTTCTCCCTCTTATTTGTGCAAAATTTGGCGATATATATTCGGTGCAAAATCTATGTTTTTTATGTCAAAAATTATTGAAAAGTCACGATCGAACAAACCACCATGTTCACATTTCTCATCTAAAATTTTTTTATACCAATTTTATCAATCGATAAGATGTAATTTGACAGCAATTTTACAGCTCAGCAAAAAATAGTAGAAATCTGTTGACAAAAACTATAAAAGATGAAATAAGCAACGGAGTTTTATGTTTATTTTCTTTGTGTATATAAACTACAGTACATGTGATGTGATGCCGACTGAAAAGCAAAACAACTCTTCAACTTGGCACACATGCATGACATGGATAGTAAAATACTTATAACCAAGACATTGTATCATTGTCTATTTTGAATTGCAATTTGAATATTCCTTTTCCGGCAATAACATACAATAAAGGTAGCCACAATGCGAGCTGCAGCGTTTTTTAAGATACACTTTTACATGATGGCAAAGCCGAAAGCGAAAAATATTTAAACCGGAGTTCGCAAGTGTTTTTCCGTTTATGATGGTGAACGGAATCGTTTCCTTTTCAAGTATTCCTGGTTCACCCTTATTAAACATCTATTGCATGGTAGTAGATAGAAAGAATAGTGTTTTGTACTAACACAAATGCAGAATTCAGATGCAAACTCAGATGCATTCGAATTCGACTTTTATAAAATTCGACCTTCAGGCCGGCATGCAAGCTATGCATCGTCTGTACTTTATTAAAACGAAAATAAACAAAAACATTTCAGTCAGTTACTTTTGACCATTTTAACAGTATTACTGTGGTATAAAGAAAAAAAATACAGTGATATTTGTGAATAAATTTGAATAAATGAAGCCATTTCAGTCATCAGGTTTAAAATTATATAATCTGACTGTCACTTTTCAATAATTTTTTACATAAAAAGCATAGATTTTGCACCAAATATATATCGCCAAATTTTGCACAAATAAGAGGGAGAAAAATGAAATACATTTTCAAAACTTGAGACGAAATAGTTTGGAAAAACTAAATTTTTACCTGAGTTTGTGTCGGCCTTTTCCATACTTCCCCGACGAAAGCAGCCGAAAAGATTAATGAAAACACCACAAAAACGCCTCAATTGAAAGGCAAAACTTCCTAACCTGAAAACTATGATAACAACGATGAAACCAAGCTGAAAGGTATCGAAAAATATGTAAAACAAAGGCGAAAAACGGCATATAACTCGGCGAATAGCTTTGTACTGCAAAAAATACAAATATTGTTTTTTGCATAATAAGCCTCGTTTCCATGTTGAGCGAAGGCGCGGTTACTAAGTTTCGCAATTGGTCTATGTTCCACATGTTCTGTCCATGTGAAGTTGGAAGAAATCCCCAGATACTTAAAACTTTTCAGAGAACCAATATTCTGGTCATGAATAGATATCTGTAGAGATGCATTCCCCGTGAGTTTACGATTGCTACCGATCAACATACTCTGTGTCTTTTCAAGGTTCAAGGTAAGTTTGTTTTCATCCAACCAATTTGCTATGAATAATAAATCTTTATTTAACTTATCACTTAGGCACGTAGGGTCAGAGCCATAACAATATATAACTGTATCATCGGCATATAATAAAACGTTTGAAAATTCTAGTTCATTCGGGAAGTCGTTAATGTAGATGGTGAATAGTAAGGGACCCAGAATTGTTCCTTGTCGTACGCCGCAGCTAACACGCATTAGATCGGATAATTCACCCTTACAAACATTTCACATAACATTTCATATATGAAATAGGGGTTTCATATATGAAATGATCATTTTCATATATGAAATGAAAAACTTCATATATGAAATTTGATTTTCACATAAGAAAAGTTACTTTCATATATGAATTTTATTTTTTTAATATTAGTTTTCCGGTGTAAAAAAACAATTCATACATGAAATTTTTTGGTTTCTCCAATGAAATAATTTAAATTGTGTATGACGTTTAATTATTTATATGTGAAAAGTAAATTTCATATATGAAATGCTAGTTTCCACATATGCAATTTTGGTTTCACGTATGAAATTTGGTTTCACATATGAAATTTTGTTTCAATAATGAAATTATTCAAATATCATATGAAATTTTACGTGTGAAAAATAAATTTCATAATATTAATGCTACTTTCATATGAATTTTAATTCATTTTTAATGAAGTTTTCCTATATGTAAAACGATTCGTACATGAAATTTTTGGCGTCTCCAATCAAATAATTTATACCGTGTATCACGTTTATTAGTTTTTTACTTTTTACATGTGAAAAGTGAATTTTCATAGTAAAGTGCTAATTTCACATATGAAATTTGGTTTCACATATGAAATTTTTGTTTCATATATGAAATTTTGTTTTCATATATGAAATTTTAGTTTCACAATTGAAATTATTAATATATCATATGAAATTTTACGTTCACGTGTGAAAAATAAATTTCATAATATGAATTGCTACTTTACATATGAATTTTAATTCATTTTTAATGAAGTTTTCCTATATGTAAAACGATTCGTACATGAAATTTTTTGGCGTCTCCAATCAAATAATTTATACCGTGTATGACGTTTATTAGTTATTACTTTTTACATGTGAGAAGTGAATTTTCATAGTGAAGTAGTAATTTCACATATGAAATTTTTGTTTCATTTGTCAAATTTTGGTTTTTCAGATATGAATTTTTTTAAATATCATATTATATTTTACATTCACATGTGGAAAATAAATTTCACAATATGAATTACTACTGTCACATATGAATTTGATTTATTTTTTATATTACGTTTCCTATAAGTAAAACGA